AACTCCTTAGCTCCCAGCTGCCCTGGCTTAAAGGACTTACATCCTGATGAAACACTTGTACCACATGGAACTATCCTAAAAAGCCCAAGTTCAGTATTCAAAAACAAAACATCTCAGAAAGGAAACTGTGCATGGATAGCAAGCTTCTTGCTCTCCCAACACTGTCTCTCAGAGAACACTGAAATATGGAGAACCAGCCAAGCATTCCTCCACAAGCTACAAGAACAACATTCAAGCAGAGACTCTGTTCACGCCCAGGCAGTGTGGCATACATGGTATGCCCCGGCATACCACAACGCACACTTTTACCACCACCTACACCTCAGGATAGGCTGCAGTTCCTTAACCTACGCTTAGAACCAGGCATGAGGCGCCAGGCTGTCACTCCACTGAGCCAGGTACCTCACCTTAAGTAGTAAATGACACCCCACCTTTACTCTCCTCCGTTTCCATAAAGGCAGACAGGGCTGAGTAGCTTCTCTAACGCTGAAGAGCCAGTTCAGCAGAGCTGAGTTCTGGGCTGCCTGCTCGCTGCCTGGTGGCATGTGTCATCAAGGCCAGTCTGAGCACGCAGGCCACAAATTTCTCTGTGACAAAGGCTTGAGATTGCCATTTCCAGACAATGATCCTGATGTTACACTTTTCCCATCACACTAACATCAGAGAAGACTCTAGACCGCAGTGTGAATGAGCAATAAACAGATTCACCTGCCGGGGTGTGCTGCGGTACAGCACTGTGGCGGGTAAAATGGTGGATAACTAACCGGCTTCTGACCGCCCTGACAAGACGAGCTACTTAAGACAAATCTCTGCTGAGATTTGTAAGCCCAATCACGAAGAAAAGTCGATTCTTTACTCTCAGAAATGGCCTCCCCATGACGCTAGAGCGTGTACTCCATGAGTACACACAACTTCGTTCGGTTCACACCCACCTGCTCAATGCCTAAAACAGGAAACAGCATACAGCAAGTCCTCAGAAATGCTAAAAAAGGAATTACTGAGAATAAAGTTGAGAGGAGGGGTCTCGTTGCTTGCTTTTGGTTGCTGCCAAACCTACAGGCCTATATAATGGTGCCCAAAGTAGACACAAACAACACAGGTACAGACCATGCAAGGGAGAACCCACAGGACTCATGCTGCCTGCCCAGGCTGTGTCTTATGCTGGGTTCTTGGCCTCTCTCATCAGGTCCACACGGGCGAACAGCTGGGCCTGCTCATCCCCAAAGGAAATGGTTTTGCTCTGCTGGAACTCATGTTCCAGTCCCCATTTCCTGTTTCCTTCTTAATGAAAATATGGAAGGTGGCACTAAAGGGAGAGGCTGCTGTAATAAAGTCACAGACCAGTGACACAGAGGTTGAGGCAGCATTTACCCCATCTACAAAAAATGTTTTTTTAATGGATGAGTATGATCAAACTATGTTGCTTACATGTACCACAGTCAAATTACTATATGTGTAATTACTACATGGTAATAAAAATAAATACTAAAGAAGAAGAAAGATGGGTGCGGTGGCCCACACCTGTAATCCCAGCTCTCTGGGAGGCAGAGGCAGGCGGATCTCTGTGAGTTGGGAGGCCAGCCTGGTCTACAAAGTGAGTCCAAGATAGCCAAGGCTACACAGAGAAAACCCTGTCTCAAAAGAACAAAAAAGGAGGAGGGTAACAACAACAACAACCTAGTTTGAACGGTGGTACCTGGGATCGCAATGGTTCTCAGCTTACGCTCTGACCGGAAAGCACTAAGCATGCAGTGCCTCTAACGGCACCAAGAGCTACGGGAACCAAGTGTGGGGGCTCGTAACTTTAATCCCAGAACTCAAGAGGCACAGAGGCCAGGCAGCCTCATATACAGGAAGGTCTGGGTTTCAAAAGCACAAAAATATAAAGAGAAACTTGGCAGGGTGTTAGGGGGTACACATGGCCTCACACGCACAATGTGACTGTGAGTGGTTTCAAATACGCCTCCCTAGACTATGCGCAGAGAAGGTCTCTGTGCTGACAGATGCCGAGAACCTAGGTGGAAATGAGGCCTGTGAGGAAGGATCAGGAGGGAGTGGAATGGCACCCCTCCCCAGAGCGGCCTCCTCAGACCACTTCCTCAGGATCTTTCATTGATCAGCTGCGTTGAACAAGGCTACACAAGTTCCTGATTCTTGACCTTCTAGACTCTGTGACACATGAAATGCATTGGGTGTCCCACAGGGCATTTTCTATGTACTTCTGGTGAGAAGAGTCGTACTTTTCAAAGCTTGTTCTAAGCTAGTTCAGCGCACTGCTCTGCAGAAAGTCCTAGGGTAAAAAGCAGGCAGGGTGGAGTACAGGGTTATCTCAGTGCTTGGGAGGTCGAGGATGGAGGATAAGAAGTTCAAAGTCATCCTTTGATACATAAGAAGGTCAAGGTCAGCCTGGTCTACAGGAAACCGTCTCTCAGGAGATTATGAAAAGAAAAGAAAATCCTAAGGGTAAGAGACTAAGTAAGAGTAAGGCCAGAGGGGAAATGAAGCTTACTTCTTTATGAATGACTTTGGGGCTGCGGCAGTCTGAAGGAGAATGGTCCCTACAGACTCTCGTATGTGAATGCTTAGTCACCAGGGGGTGGAACTCTTTGAAAAGATTAGAAGGACGATGAGGTGTGGTCTTGGAAGAGGTGTGTCACTGGGGTTAGGAAGTGGGTTTTGAGGTGTTAAAAACCCATGCCAGGCCCCCAGTCTCCCAGTCTCCCAGTCTTGGCCCCAAGAACTCCAAAACCTAATGCTTATTTAGACTTCATTTTTGTTCTGAATTAGTACAGAGGTGGATAACAAGGGAAGAAAGATACAGGAGATGCTCTCTATAAAAACTCAGAAGTTGACTTTTAAAAGGGGTGGAGCATAAGAAATAGAGGTGCTATAAAGACACAGTGAGCACTCAGAACTGGCCAGTGGGAAACTTTCCTCTAAGAGTGTCTCTCAGCCAAGTAACCTGATCAGCTATGGTTACAGCAGTAAAAACAGGCCAAGTGCTTAAAGTAAGCCAGCCTTCCTGACACAAGACCTGCAAGAAGTTTCTCATATGATCTTCAAAGAGAAAGGTCTAGGTGGTTACCTAGACCACCTCCCTGGGCGGGAAGAGCAGCCAGCCTCAGCACTCACGGAAACATCCAAGGCTATTCCTAGCCCCAGCCCTGCTCAGCTCTGGAAGCAACAATGGCAGGAGGCTCAGTTGCTCAGCTTACCCCAGCAGCAGCACTGTGTGTGAATGACACACAGCCCATAGCAACTCTTCATAAATCCTTTCTCCAAGGCTTCTCTTCAGTTAACACAGAGGCAAAGAACCTGAGGTCACACTATTTGTCAAATACTTGGAATGCGGCTATCCTGTGCTGTTATTTAAAGGCGGAATCAAAGTACTAACCAGCTGTTAACACTCAGAGAAACCAGGATCTGGCCACATCTTCCCCTGACTGCAACATTTGGAATGCTGATTCCCAGCCTCATCAGACTGGCATTCCTTCACATTCTCTGATACTTCATGAAGTCCCAACACCAACCCAAAATTAAATCGATAATTAAATTTCCTCCACAGATGCATGAGTAACCTTCTCTGTACACATAATTTCAGAATAAAGAAGTCAATATACTACCCTCGCTAAAATTAGCAACAGAAGGGAACTGATAATAATACCATTTGCATTTCAACATTAACAAGGCTCTCCTGTGCTGTCATGGCCGCCATCGGAAAGCAGCAGCCAGGGCCCTGCATGACTTCATGGCCATGGACCTCAATAAGGGTCACGTTCTGGCAATGGATGTCAGCAAGCTGAGGCACACCTATGCCTCCAAAAGCACACCAGGTTGGTGTGGGACTTGATCTGGAAGTGTAGGGCCTCAGGTCCTACGAGCCTTGCACCATGGGGCTGCAGCTGGTCAGGGTATTCAAGGACAAGCATGCTCAGGTTCAGCAAGAGGAGGGTGGGCACACACACCCATGCCAAGAGGAAGTGGTAGGAGCTAAGCAGTGTGCCAGAGGCCATGGCCAAGTGGACTGGTCCCCCCCCCCACTCCACCACCCTCCAATAAACGCTTATGCTACAAACCTAAAAATCTCAATGTTTTCCGGTGTTCCTGATGATTAGCTCTGTGTAGTGACTGGATTTGGAGGGAAATTAAGATTCTATTCCACACAAGAAGCACAATAATATGCAAAAAGTCAGGTGAAAAGGCTTCTTACAACAATAACATGCTTAATGTTTAATTTACTATCAGAATTATTTGTATAGGGAAAATGGGCAAACTACAGTAAAGCTTCTATAACCACCAAAAAAACAAACAAACAAACAAAAAATCCCTCCGCCATTGAATACAATGCTTGCTGACAAGCTGAGTGCTCTGAAATAAGGTGGCTGGGTGATTCCTTGTGCCTTAATGTGGGGTAGAATAATAATAATGTATTATTTTAAAAAACCCTCACGTTAGGAACCCCCACCATTAGCAGAACTGCATTCAACCCTGGTGTCAGCTCTATGGAACCAACTCCCAGGTTTTTCAGGACCATTCCAAAATTTCTCAGCCTGACCAACACCCCTGGTCCCTCATCTCCAAATGCTAGCAGTACTGTCTGCTCCGTGTGCCAACAAACACACTTTCATGCTTTTGGAAGCATCTCCTTTCCGATCCACCAGCCCCGCCCAGACGAGGAGTAACACAAAGCTTGAATAAGCAGAGCAGCAAATGGTTAGATGAGGAAGGAACGCATAAACAAAGCTAACTTTGGAAGGAGGAAACCAGGGGCATTGAGACCTGGCCCAGGGCTAGCAAACGGCATCAAGTTAATGCCAGCTGAGTAAGCAGCAAACAAAATGCCACACTGTGCATGGGCCCAGGGTGGTGCTGCAGCCCACAAACCCAGCTCTTGTCTCCATACCCCTTCTTTCCTTCAGTGCTTTACTGTGAACTTCAACAGACTGGTTCTCAACCCCTGCGTTTTCTGGGCTCCTTATATGGGGGAGGGGCGTGCATACCTTCTTCAGCTTCTGCAGCTCCAGAAGGCATGGTTGCTCTCTCCTCTGTCTTGGCTTCTTGCTCAAGAGCCTACAAGGTAAAGGGAGGAAACTGCTGAAAACCATTTGGGACTCCAGATATGCAGAAGACGGGTAAAAAATAATAATCACCATCACAGGTCTCAGAGCTGGGAGAGCTGGCAAGGAAAGGGTTGGGGTTACACAGTGACAGAGGATTTGACAGCCAGTATCCCAGGATGACAAGAGAAGTCAGGTGGAACCCAGGGCCAGGTGCGCACACACACACACACACACACACACACACACACACACACACACACAC